ATTGGAGGTGGATTTCTCATTGACTGGCTCTGACAAACCGGAAGATTTGTGGTTTATCTCTTCTCCTCTCTATGCATTTCTCTTTTGTTAGGTTTTATATGTATTTTACTATGAACTTATGTATATTTTTCGCCCATGGAGTTATATAAAACTTGCTTTACAAATCTTTGTGGATTGTTGTCTTAGATTTTTGCTCTGTGCTAGGGATTTGAGTTGTTATAGATATATACTGCTTAGATTCTTATCTAGGATGATTATCTGTTAGTTTATGAACTCTAGAGATAGATTTAGAGCTGACATATACTTGGGTATCAGAGCTTAATGCCTCTGTATGGTTGTGTTGTGTTGAGAGATCGTCAGTGCGATTACATAATTATCTTCTGTGTTGTTGAGGAGGTATAGATATCATTTCCTTGGTAATACAGTCGGTCTCTCGATTTGGGTTAGAAATGACTTAGGTTGTGAGTGATACATAGTGACATTGATGAGTATTGTTAGGTTGAATGTAATTGGTCGGTAGATTTAAGTCTGTGATGAGTAGATTATTTTCACGCTTGATAAGTTATTCCTTAGTTTTTACTTTTGTTTACATTTATATTTTGTTGATAACATTTTCTTTACAATCCCATTTATCCCCAAACTCATTAATGAAATATTTGTCGAACGATAATTCAATAACCAATCTTTGTGGACACGATAAATTCCTGGATAAATATTTCCAAAACTTTTGTTGCTTGCCACTACACCGCTCTACCAAAATGGTGCCACTGCTGGGGATTGGTTCTATTTTCTTCGCATTGCGATAATTTTTTTTTTGTTGAGTTTTGTAATTAATGTATATGTTGTATAGAAATTATACATTAACTTGTATATGATATTTATGCATATATGTGTATTCACGTATTGTTGTTAATTGTCTTGTTTTCGTAACGTTTGTTGTGTGACTGTTAGGACACTTTTTTTAGGTTTGCACGGTGTGAAAATACCATGGCATGATGAGAGGAGGTTACTAGCTCGCACAATAAAGGCGTCGAGCTTACGACGTAAAGCAAGCATGTTAGTTTGTATTTGTTTATGTGTGTCGTGATTTGTGTTTTAACAAGTTGAAACAAGGAATATTCCGAATTTCAAATCTTCACTTTTCAACTTGTTAATTCATTTTCACACGGTTTTCATATCTTTATTTGTATTCGTTTTCTTATATCAATTTTTATTTTCCGAAAGCTTGTCGTGTTTAGCTTGAGGAGTTTTCTTCATTGTATATATTGAAATTTTTGTACATTGAAATTTTGTAGGAGTATTATTTTTCTAATTCTTTTGTTGTTGTTTGGACTCAAGTTTTGGTCCGGTAACTTATAGAATATTGAGGTGATTTATCAAGTTTGATCGTTTTGACTTGCGAATGCATGGTAATGATTTTGTTAATGTTTTGTACACGTTCGAGGTGTGTGTTTATCACTTTCTATACTTTAGCATATTCATGATACTTAGACTTTTTACAATTTTTTATGTCATTCATTCTTTTGTATACTTGTTCATTTATGAATCACTTTAGTTCCTACCCTTTTTGTGAGGTAGCTTTCCATTGTTCACATATGCTGGAGACCACAATTCTTGTTTTAACTGGATTTTATTATGCTTAATCTTTTGTTTTGTGTTGATTGTATGAATGTAAGAAAGTGATCAAGGCATTTTTTGTTCCATTTTGAGCATAACTACCTAGCCAAATAGTCAATTCACCTTGTGAGTGTGTGATCATTAGTAACCCCTTTGAGCTTTTTGTCGATATCCATGTTGTATTTTCTAAATATTTGTATATGAGTGTTTAGTTTGCCTTTTTGTATGGATATGGATTCCTTATTTTCTTGAACCCTTAACTATGATTTATAGTTGAATTTTTACCTTGCCATGGAAAGTAGGGAGTATTCATATTATGATGATGGTTGAATTCAAGTTGGAGAGAGAAATACGCATGTGCTTATGTTGTGATTTCTATGAGGTTGAAAAAGAAAAGAAAAAGAAAATAAAAAAAAGTGAAATAGAAAAGATAGAAAAAGAAAGGAAAAAATAGAAAAGCTTTGTAAAAGAAAAACAAAAAGAGTATGGAATAATGTTGTGTTGAATAAGTGATGTGTGTTGGTTTGAAATTTGGGATGAAGAAGAAATTTGATTAAAATTCTATTATTTGAAACTTTGTGGAAGTAATTACTCCCTTAGGTTTAGGCAAGTTTTTATTTCGATTAGCTTTAGGACTTATCACTTGTTTGTTAACCAAGCCACATTACAACCTTGAAAAGCCCTTGAGATTCTTACTTTTATATTTTCAATGTAAATTTTTGGATGAATGCATAATTTAGGCTATTGTTGTTTGCAAGATTGTTGGATGAGTGAAAATACTCCATTTTTGTGTGTTTTTCATCTACTGATGATTATGTTTGCTAGGTGTGATTCATTTGTGACTAAGTATTATTTTAGAATATTTGGCATATTCTTTATATTTAGCATTTATTTCATGTTTATGTTATCGTCGTAGTTTAGTGGTAAGTATGTTTCTTTGTGTGTACCGTTTTTTATTTGAACCACTGCATTTGTTTTCCATTTTCAAAACCTGTTTATTCGTGATTCTTTGAGTTATCATTCTTTGTTCTTTATGTTATTTGACTTTGTTTGAGGACAAACAATAGTTCAAGTTGGGAAGAGTTTGATAAGTGCAAATTGTAGCTATTTTTGTATATAAGTTTTGTTGCACTTATTGACTTTTTGTTTGTTAATATTGTTGAATAACCCGACTTTTGTGTAAATACGTTTAGTTTGTGTATAATGCATTTTCTTGTATAAAGTGTATCGTTTGATAGTTTTGTATTTGTTTTGTAGGTATTTAAGCATTGTTGGAGCAATAAGAAATAAAGCTCCAAGATGCTTTTTGGATCAATAAAGGAATAAGGCCAAGATTTGAGCTATAATAAGTTATGCAGAAAGAGCAACAAAAGTTGCTTTTGTCATGGATCGCCGGGCAAAATGGGAGCGTCGTCGGGCAAAAATTTGAAGATAATTTTGTTGAAGTCCCTGCCTTGCTTCACTACTGCGTCGCCAGACGAAAATAAGGAGTGTCGTCGGACGATGAATTATGGTCGCCCAGCGATGGAGGATATGTTTGATCAGTTGAGCACGTGGATTATTTTGGGCCAAGTGAATAAGAGTTTTCGTCGGGCGATGCTTTATTTCGTCGGGCGATTCTCACGGATCAGATTTTTTTAAAATTTTCCTTTTTGTTTCATTTGTTAGGTGTTGGTTTTGGGAGATATTTTTGTTCTCTCAACTCCATCCATCTTATTTTTATAGTGGATTAGCTTAGATAACAACTCTAGGACTTTGCTTATGGATGATTGGAGGTGGATTCCTCATTGATCGGCTCTGATAAACCGAAAAATTTGTAGTTGATCTCTTCTCCTCTCTATGTATTTCTCTTTTGTTGGGTTTTGTATGTATTTTACTCTGAACTTATGTATATTTATCGCTCATGGCGTTATATAAAACTTGCTTTACAAATCTTTGTGGATTGTTGTCTTAGATTTTTGCTCTACGCTAGGGATTTGAGTTGTTATAGACATATACTACTTAGATTCTTATCTAGGATGATTATCTGTTAGTTTCTGAACTCTAGAGATAGATTTAGAGCTGACATCTACTTGGGTATCAGAGCTTAATGCCTGTGTGGTTGTGCTGTGCTGAGAGATCGTCCGTGCAATTAAATAGTTGTCTTATGTGTTGTTCAGGAGGTAGAGAGATTATTTCCTTGGTGATACAGTCGGTCTCTCGATTTGGGTTAGAAATGACTTAGGTTGTGAGTGATACGTAGTGACATTGATGAGTATTGTTAGGTTGAATGTAATTGGTCGGTAGATTTAAGTCTGTGATGAGTAGATTATATGCACGCTTGATAAGTTCTTCCTTAGTTTTTACTTTTGTTTACATTTATATTTTGTTGATAATATTTTCTTTACAATCCCATTTATCCCCAAACTCATTAATGAGAGATTTGTCGAACGGCAATTCAATAACCAATCTTTGTGGAAACGATAAATTCCCAGATAAATATTTCCAAAATTTTTGTTGCTTGCCGCTACAACCGCTCCAACAATATTCCATCATTTAAGATTTCTACGACATCTTGAAATCTGAAAATAACCTTCATTTGCGTCACCCACCGTTGATAGTTTTCACCTTTGAAAATCGGCAGATTCGTTGGAAACTGTATTGATGTTGTTGATCCGTTTGCCATTAGATTCTCTTTGAATCACAAACAAGCTCTTGATACCAATTTGTTAGAACAAAGGATTCAAAAAAGATGATTGTGAGAAAAGAAGAAGAAGAAGAAGAAGAAGAAGAAGAAGAAGAAGAGAAGAGAGAGAGAGAGAGAGAGAGAGAGAGAGAGAGAGAGAGAGAGAGAGAGAGGAGAGAGAGAGAGAGAGAGAGAGAGAGAGAGAGAGAGAGAGAGAGAGAGAGAAGAGAGAGAGAGAGAGAGAGAGAGAGAGAGAGAGAGAGAGAGAGAGAGAGAGAGAGAGAGTTAGTTAAGTGTAACTAACTTTATAATTGAATGTATTATATTTTCTGCTCTATGATTACAAACATAATAACCATTTATATAGGCAAAGTGCTCAGACCCAAATATATGTTAAGAATCCAAATAACTACATAACAAAAATTAACTAACTAACCGTTTACTTATTCTCTTTTAGTGTTATTTGATCTATTGAAGGTGAAGTTTAACATTTTAATATGTTCTTTGCTATATAAAACGAATGAAAGAATAGAGAACTACAAATGAGAGTGAAATAAAAATTACTTGCAAAGTAACAAACATATATATTACAGAGCACACCCATGCACATGCATCATTTATTTAATTTCATATGGATATCTAAGAAATCCAATTGATGAGTTGGAAAGAAAGACTGATTATTCCAAGTAGTAGATGCATGATCTTTTTTGTTGGACATTTAAGTGGAAATTTCCACAGCCATCTTTAGAAAGTCTTTTGCTATAGAGTTAGAGCTAATATTGAAGAGCTCATTTACTGCAAGCTTATAGCCAATAGTGAAAAAGTGTTGAGCTTTAGTTTTGGAGGAAAAACACCACCCGTATTGGATTTTAGGATTAGGATAACTACCGCAGAAGTTTCCATTGCCCTTCTTAACACAATCGCCATGAGATTTACATAAGTAAGGATGTTCTTCAACTTTCTTTACAGTTTCTTTAGAATGAATTGGAATGATACACTGACCCACAGCTAGTAACCATGGAATACACCGACAATCTTCTTTTACGTGGCCGCATGTATTAAACTGAAATGGCGAACATACACCCGAACAATCTGCTTCTACGTTCTTCATCGAAAATATTACTTCAAAAGATAGTTAGGACTTAATGATTTAGTAAATAAAAATATAGAGCAGATAGTGTTCAATTTCTCATGATAAGTTCTAAAACACAAATTAAAATGCATGGTATTTATAAACATTGGTGATAAAGATGTTCAATATACATACAAATTGTGGCAAGCATCAAGACAGCCAAAGGAGCAAGCTTAACATATCCCATTGTTGGACTTGGACCCAAAGAAATAAGCTACAACAGTATTGTTTCTTATTTATGACCTTAGCTTAGTGTTGCATTATGAATCTTTGCATGTAACAATTTATAGAAGCTTCATAATGCAAAAGACAATAATGTCCCTATCTATGGTGGCCTGGTGGTCATATTTAGTATTCAACAACAATGTTAGCATCGCAATTCATATAAGTAAACAAATGAGAAATGATATCATGCCACCATATTCTTACACCTACATCTAATATACTTTTACAAAATCTGAACAATATTTTTTTTTATTATTTTAATTTTTTAATATATTTTTCTATTTTTCTTTAAAATTACTTTGTTTAATGAAATATCAAAACTTAATTAATACAATTCTGATTTTAGTTAATGTATATCCTGACATAAAAATTAATTTTAGGTTTTAAAGTAAAGATATTTAATTGAGTGTTATAAATTGATCAATATAATTCATAGTTTGGATATTGAGTATTCTGACATTAAATATTCAATGTTACGTAGTAAATCAATTTTGATTAATATTATATATAAAATTGGTTAATACAGTTTATAACTTCGTTGATGAGTTTTCAAACATAAAAAAAAATTAAATAGTAAAATAAAGTTGATTAATATATTTAGAATTTAGTGTCAGAATATGGTTAATATTATATATTTTATTGGTTAATAAAGTAATGATAGTTGTTAATGAATTATAAGTAAAGTAAATGGTTAATGACGTACATTTTTATGGTTAATACAACTGTGAAGTTGGTTAAAAATACAATCTTATATTTGTGTTACAAAATAAATTTTAAAAATATGTATTTTTTAAAAATAATATTATTTTAATAAAAAAACAATATTTACTGTATAAATATAATGAACAGTAGATGCGATATAAGTATTTGATGTAAAAAAATGTGTCAAAATAGAATTGTTGAAACAAATTAACTATCGACTTGCGTAGATTACCCCCTCCCCAATGTTAAAAAGAATGAATATTTTAAGAAAACCCTTAGCTATATTGGAATAAATAATTTAGGCTCACATAATCATTCGTGCATATATGGACGTATACACAACTCATTTAGAGAACCATTAGTTTCATATTTATACACCTTAATGTGTGACTGCTTTAGAAACAACGAGGAACTAAGTTAACTCACTAGAGAAGAGTGGAGATAGAGATAATGTCTAACACGATTCTAATGCAGTGATGGAGTGAGATATATGTCGAGAAGAATGGGATTTGGGGATAAATGAAGAAGTAAGATAGAAGTGCTTGTTTGCAATAGTTTTATGTCGATTCTCGTGAATAGTAGTTTGATTAAGGACTTTTTGGTTTTTAGAGGTTTTCGCCAAGGAGATCTTCTCTCACCCTTTCTCTTTTTGTTGGTGGCGGAAGGTTTAGCGGAAATGGTGAGTAGGGCGTCTTTGGTGGATGATTTCAAGGGTGTCAGGATTAATGATCTTGCTTATTTTGACATCCTCCAATTTGCCGATGACACTATGTTGATGGGGGTGATTCCCGAGACAATCTTTGGTGTTTTAAAGCCATCCTCCGTGGCTTTGAGTTAGCCTTCGGACTCCGAGTGAATTTGAATAAGAGTAAGCTTTTGGGGGCTAATTTAGATTCGACTTATGTCTAAGCGGCGTCCCTTTTTCTTAATTGTGAGATTGATTCTTCTTCTTTTATCTTTTCTTGGCATCTTGGTTGGGATTAATCCGAATATGTGAGATGTGTGGAAGCCTATTATGTCTAGGTTAAGAAGAAGCTTAGGTGGTTGGAAAAATAGACATTTATCAATCGGGGGTACAATGGTCCTTTTGAATTCAGAGTTGTCTAGTATTTTGATTTTTTTGTTCTTATTTTATAAGGCTCCTAAATCTAATATCAAGGAGATTATCATGCTTCAAAGATCTTTTCTTTGGGGAGGTGATGAAACGAAGAAGAAGATTAGTTGGATTGGTTGGGATATGATTTTTTTTTTATTTTAGAAAGAAGGTGGTCTTGGTGTGAAACATTATGGGAAATTTAATTTGGCTCTTCTTAATAAGTGGAACCGAGGATAATTATTTTTGGACTAACCTTCTTTCTTGCAGGTATGAAGATATCAAATCTTTTATGCCTAGAGATTTGGGTATTCATTCGAGAAGTAAGATGTCGATTTGGTGGAAGGATTTTTGTGCGATCGGTAAAGTGGAATCGAAACCGTTGGCCAATTAGTTCTCTTCTTCTATTTTGTGCAAGCTTGGTGACGGTGTTTCCATCAATTTTCAGCGTGATCGGTGGATTAGTCATTACCTCTTTGCAATTTATTTTAAAAGTTGGTTTTGTTGGTGGATCCCCTTTATCCAAAGGTTTCTCATTTGGTAGAGTGGATTGATGGTGTTTGGAATTGGTCCGTTCGATGGCAGTCTTGTCCTGCTATTCGGGCAGCAGCCGCTCAGATTCGGGAATTGATACTTTTGTTGCATCTAGTTCAACTGCGGTGCTCCTTTGTGGATTCCTTTGTTTGGTGGAGGAACAGTAATGGCTACTCTAATAGTAATTGTTATAATTGCATTTTGAAGAAGGAATCGCGATTTTCGGAGTTGGATGCACAACTTTCCTTGGTCTTTGTTAGTTTATGAAAAACTAAGGTTCCTAGTAGAATCCTAATTTTTGGGTGGAGATTAATTTGGGAGTATGCTTCCATCGAAGTTAGAACTTCTCAAGTATGGGTGTTGAGAGGGGCGCATAACTTGGTTTGACCACTTTGTTTTCGTGTGGAGGAAAATCCTGATCATCACTTTTGTGATTGCACTATATCTAAGGCATGGTGGAATAAGATTTGTCTTTGGCTTAGGGTTGATGATTCTTCCTTTTTTGGTCACATTTTGGACCGTCTTCTTTCATTGGAGCTTTCTTGTAAGTTGTCTTTTGTATTCGATACGGGTTGGTTTTTTAGGTTAATTACTTGTTGGGAGATTTGAAAATGTAACACCCTATTTTCCCCATCGAATAATTACTATATAATCAGAGTAATTTAAAAATTCCAAACAACAACAAAATAGAATGTCACATTTCATCATCTCAAAAATTGCTCAACATTTAGTAAATAGATACATAACACATAAACTCGGATGAACCGACGGTATATCATCATTCCACTTCACTTTATTCATTCAACGAAAACAAATTCAATTATAGTTTAATAATTAATTCCAATAAAACATAGGCAACATCTCCTCATATGAAAGGGAAATTATAAAGTTCTCATAATATTCCAAAATCAACAACTATCAAATAAGCACACAAGCGTTCATCCCCGGTGTTACGTATCAGAGCATGACCCGACTCAATCTACACACTACAAGGCGCATCTCCATACCTCAAGCAACTCTAATCTTCATCACCTGCATGTTACCCACGTGAAGGAAACATTCAAATAGTAAGGGTTAGATATCATGACAATATAATAAGTCATATAATCATGAGTAAACAACAAGTATATCATGCAAGATTTCAAGTTCCACAATCATCAATTATAGTTCATAACGATTACACATATACATACTTAATTATCATCACCCATCACATAACATAATTCAAACATACAACTCAACTTCATTATCATCATCCATCATGCAATGTAGATCGAACATACAACTCAAATTTATTATCATCACCCATCAGACAACGTAAATCGAACATACAACTCAACTTCATCGAATATCAACAATTCAACAATGCAATGCGACTGACACTGATGCAAGATGCATGTGGTACCATCAGGGCATAAGCCCTATCCAAGATTGCCATATAAGGCCAGGGCATAAGTACTAAACGATTGTCAATACATGCCAGGGAATAAGCCCTCAACGATTGCCAATACAGGCCAGGGCATAAGCCCTCAACATTTGCCAATATAGGCCAGGGCATAAGCCCTCAACATTTTCCAATACAGGCCAGGGCATAAGCCCTCAACATTTGCCAATATAGGTTAGGGCATAAGCCCTCAACATTTGCTAATATAGGCCAAGGCATAAGCCCTCAACGATGCATGAAATGCGACATGCTACAACAAAATTATGCAATCACAAGCATAATCATCAACATCACACCAATTTCTGGCTAACATAACACCAATTTATGGCCAACATCATCTTGTTAATACTGCAATATCACCTATAATTACTTCACACATCGTCGATACAACACCGATACAATTAATTGCAATATTTTGCATTACAACACATACAACATACGCACACATCAGAATTCTTCCAATAAAACATTATTATACTGTCATCAAAATTATAACCAAATTGTATAAAATATTTTTAGCTTTCCAACGGTCCAAACGACACGTCAAACGGACACCCGAGTCAAAAGTTATGGAGTTTTTAGGTTCTCAAAAATTCCTACCAGTTACAGTGGTAACCAGTTACCGCAAGACAATAACCTTGTTCTTTCCAAAACTCATCGCGGTAACCGATTATCCAATTACTGTAATTGGTTACCAAGTTATGGTAATCGGTTCCTGCAAGACACTAGCCAAAAGTTCAAAAACAAAAACAGTGATAACCGGTTTCCCAGATATGGTAACCGATTACCCATCACGCGCAGACCCAAAAACCTGAATTTTCTGCTACAAAATCCATCCTCTTCATCCAAAAACCACTTTTCATGAAATATCAAACACACCAATTATTATAAATCATTAACACACATCATACACCACAATTCAAACACAATTAACACATCAATCTCATCCTTTACGAGCAATTACAACAATCAATTTCACAATAATTTACCCCAAAACCTAACATTCAATATCATCATCTACCCACAATTAAACCACCTATTAGAGAGTCAGAACCCCATCCTTACCTTAGGTTTTATGATTCTAATCTCTCTACCGGAGATTCCTCGCCCTAGCTTATATTCTCTTCTCTTCTCTTCGCTGTTCTCTTCTCACTTATACGTTTTATTCCTCGTGTTTCTACTTCTATTG